AGCCCCCCCCTGCTCTAACCACCAGCCCCCACTCCCCTCCCAGAGGGGGGAAAGAACCCAGGAGTCCGGGCTCCCAGCCCCCCCCTGCTCTAACCACCAGCCCCCACTCCCCTCCCAGAGGGGGGAAAGAACCCAGGAGTCCGGGCTCCCAGCCCCCCCCTGCTCTAACCACCAGCCCCCACTCCCCTCCCAGAGCCGGGAAGAGAACCCAGGCGTCCTGGCTCCCAGCCCCGCCCTGCTCTAACCACTAGACCCCATTCCGCTCCCAGAGCCGGGGAGAGAACCCAGGCGTCTGGGCCCCCTTACGATGAGCGGCTCCTTGTTGACGTTGTGGAGGTCGAGGGCCACCAGGTAGTCGCGGGCGCCCAGGTAGAGCCGGTCCTGGTCCTGGTCCACCAGCAGGATCCGATAGTCGCTGGTGTTGAAGGCGAAAGCGAAGGGCCGGGCGGTGCGGGTCTGCAGGAGCTCTGGGGGGGAGCGATGGAGCTGGGATGGGACCCAGGCATCCTGGCTCCCCGCACCCCCACTCTAACCACTAGTCCCTACTCCCCTCCCATAGCCAGGGAGAGAACCCAGGTGTCCTGGCTTCCCCGCCCCCTGCTCTAACCACTAGTCCCTACTCCCCTCCCATAGCCAGGGAGAGAACCCAGGAGTCCTGGTTCCCAGCCTCCCTGCTCTAACCACTAGTCCCTACTACCCTCCCAGCCCCCCCTCGAGAACCCAGGAGTCCTAGCCCCCCCTCCGCCCCGGGCAGCAGCTGGAGTGGTCCCCACCCCCGTTAATCTGCCTGGCGCTGGCTGAGCTCAGGGGGGTATTTTGGGGGTGGGGGGGGCGGGCAGAGCAAAGCCCAGAAATAATCCCTGAAATCCCCCGGCCGCATTCCAGCCCCGTGCCAGGCCGCGCTGCGAGCTTCCCACCTGCAGTGACCTTGAGCGTGTCAATCCCCTCCCCCCCCGCGGGCACGGCTGGCACAGCCCCGGGGGGAGATTCCAGGCCAGGGTCCGAGAGCCGGGGCCAAGGGCAGGTTCCTGGGGGAGAAGGGGGGACTAACTACCCCCTCCTCTAACCCACCAGACCCCCCTCCCCTCCGAGAGCTGGGGAGAGAACCCAGGAGTCCTGGCTCCCAGCCCCCCCTCTCTAACCACAAGCCCCCACTCCCCTCCCAGAGCGGGGAGAGAACCCAGGAGTCCTGGCTGCCAGCCCCTCCTGCTCTAACCCACCAGCCCCCGCTGCCCTCCCGGCGCCAGGGACGGGACCCAGGCGTCCTGCCGGAAATCCCCACAAGCCCCGGGCTTTGCAGCCTTTGGGGGTGACCTCCAGCCAGCCCCATGCCAGGTGCCTGCTGTGGTGTGTCACAGCTATATCCAGCCAGGCTGGGACTGAGACAATGGCGGGGAGCCACTGCCCCTGTGCATTGCACGACTGGATGGTGCGTTGCACGACTGGTCAGCATGTTGCACGACAGGCGGGTGGTCCTGATGTATTGCACAGCTGGATGGTGCGTTGCACGACTGGTCAGCGTGTTGCACGACAGGCAGGTGGTCTTGATGCATTGCACGGCTGGATGCCGCATTGCACAGCTGGGTG